CGAACTCACAAGAGATCCGCCTGGCTCTGCCTCCCGAGTGCTGGGATTAAAGGCGTGCGCCACCACCGCCCGGCCAATGTTGATCCTTTTTAAAATTTCCTTGACAGGCCAGTTTCTTGTCTCTTGACTCCCCAATACCCTGTCCTTCATTTCTGGTACCTTGTCTGTCTTAGTTAGGTTTTTATTGCTGTGAAGAGACACCATGACCATGGCAACTCTTATAAAGGAAACATTTAATTGTGGTGGTTCGCTTACATTTCAGAGGTTCAGTCCATCATGATGGGGAGCATGGTAGCATGCAAGCAGGCATGGTGCTGGAGAAATAGCTGAGAGTTCTGCATCTTGCAGGCCATAGGAAGTTGACTGACTGTCACACTGAGTGAAGCGTAAGAAAAAGACCTCAAAGCCCACCCCACAGTGACATACTTCTAACAGAAGGTGTGGCCCATATTAAAGGTGTGTCATCCAGCCACCTCCAACAAGGTCACACATAATGAGCTTATGGGGGCCAAATATACATCTAAACTACCACACTGTCTTTCATCTGTGGTACCTCCTTCGTGGGTTCCTAGCCCTGTCAAAATCCCTGAGTGTGCAGTAGTTTGTGGTGACTTCTTATCAGTAGTGTGAGTATCTTTTGATTGTTTTCTTACATCACAGTCTCCAGTCTTCAGGGATCAGCCTGTTGTGAGTCATTGGCTTCCATCCTCAGTCCCATGAGGGGATATTTCTGGCCATGTTTCAGATGAGGAAAGCAGAGCTCAGCAGCTAGTTAAACCAGAGGAACAGAACCAACTCTATACACTTCCTAAGCATGTCTTCTATCTCCCATACTCTCCTCTGACTGAAGCTTTAACACCACCCTTCCCACCCCAGCCCACCCCCAGGAGCCAGTGGGCTTTGTGAGGCTCAGAACAGCCCAGAGTATACTAGTCGGATAGTGACTCTCCAAGTCTCGGTCTGGACCAGTCTATGGAGTTCATCAAGGTTGAGCCTACTAGGCTTGGGCTGAGTCACAGTCTCCATTCGTGCAAGAGAATGGTGACAGCTTTCTCTTCGTAGACTTTGTATGCCAGGTGCCCTGCTAAAACCTTGCCTCAGACCCTCACAACAACCCAACAAAGATGGGTCTTTTGGGCCTGACTAGAATCCTACCCAGTCTATAAGCTGGCTACTGACCTCTCTGCTGCAGTCAGGCAGGCCTCTCACTTTGAATGTTGGCTGGTCACTGCCACCAGTTTCCCTGTGCTGTGTAGAATCACAGTGTGAACTCATATGTCAGTGTATTGTTAGAGTTAAATACATTGCCAGTAATATACAATATCATATATATCATCAGACTGCAGACCATTTGTCTCACCAGTCTTCTCATTAGTGTTTATTTGGCCAATCATTTTTGTGGAGGGGGTGGGCATGGGTCTCTTGGAGCTTAGGCTGGCTTCAAACTTCTACTCCTGCCTCCTGAGTGCTGGAATTATAGGTAAGTGCCAGCATACCCAGTTTTTTTTTATGTGATGCTGAGTGTTGAACTCAGGGCCTTGTGCATGTTAGGTAAGAACTTTATCAATTGAGCTATACCCCCAGGCTGTCTGTCACCTATTTGATTTGTTGCTAGTGGGTAAAGTTGGAGAAGGCATAAGCCCAAGTGTTCAGACAGGCAGACAACTGGAGTCTTGGAGGTCAGAAAGGAAGAGGAGAGACATGGTGCTTATGGGGTCATATAATGAAATAGGGGTAATCTCTACTGGTTAGCAGGACTTCCTTCTGTGTGTCTTCCTGGTGTTCCCTCTGCAAGGCTCTTCCGTCCCTTGTGTATGTTCTTTCTAATTGTGCTGTGTCTCAGACAACACATAACTAACTGCAGCTTCATCTTGACTTGCAGCCAAAGTGATTATTCACCAGACACTCAGTGTCTTGGAAGACATTGTGGAGAATATCTCTGGGGAATCCACCAAGTCCCGACAGATCTGTTACCAGTCACTGCAGGAATCTGTTCAGGTCTCCCTGGCCCTCTTTCCAGCTTTTATCCATCAGTCAGGTAAGAATTGTCTCAGAGGCCTGCCTCCTGGATGGATGGTGTTCACAAGGGCCAGAATACCCATTTAGAGCTGTAGAACATGACAAGTCAGAGCAAGCCAGCCTGGACTTTGCTCAGTGAAGGGAAGCAAATAGACAAAGGCAAAGGTATGCTGTCATTGGAGAGTCTGGAAAGGTGAGCAGAGCTGATGTGGTGTTCTTAAGCCGTGGTCAGTGTTGCTGTCACTGAACAACACTGCTCGGTCACTCTGAATGTACCCGTCTGGCTCTGCTGAGAGCATTTACAGTGGACTTGTCAGTGTTAGAAAGCATGGCCTTTGTAGCTTAGATGCACTGACAGCATCTCGTAAGCACATTATGTGTCGTAAGAACCAAAATGTCCCATGCAAGACGAGATCTGGATATGAAACCACACTAACCAGAATCAATAAATTCATTTAGTAGCCCAGGGCAGTGTGACCTGAGTGCTACATCATTATCTACTTTTAGCCACTTAACCTTGACCTACTACAGGGATGATTGGTCTTAGAGAGAAATGCCAGGGCATTCAGGTGTTGACCCAGTTGGATAATTTCTTGGATGTGAGCACAAAGTGGTTCATTTTCAGTGAGAATGCTGACCATGCTGGATGCAGGACAATACGCTGGGCTTCAAGATGAGACAACTGCATTTCCTGCTGTGAGCAATCAAGCAGCCATTCCTAGGAGCTGAGCTGTGTTCTCAGCAGGCTCTTAATCATTTTCCACTTTCCATCATTGACTCTGATGGTATTGGGGACATTTCTTCAGTGGGACGCATTAGAGAGATGACAGTGCAGATTGTAAGGAAGATTGATGAGGCCACGGATGCGTTAGTCCCTGTGCGCGGGCATGGTGTTGACCATTGGTTTGTCCTTCGTTCAGATGTGACTGATGAGATGCTGAGCTTCTTCCTCACCTTGTTTCGAGGCCTTAGAGTACAGATGGGTGTGCCTTTCACAGAGCAGATCATACAGACTTTCCTCAACATGTTTACCAGGTAACCGTACACTGCTGCCCAGGCCTTTCAGATCCCAGGAGCAAGCCTGGCTGCAAAGTGCATCGCTTGTCCTCTGGTTCCAGAAGAATCAGTTGTGAGTTATGGGGGCTTTCTCTTGCCCGCAGAGAACAGTTGGCTGAGAGCATCCTCCATGAAGGCAGCACTGGCTGCCGGGTGGTAGAAAAGTTCCTGAAGATCCTACAAGTGGTGGTGCAGGAGCCTGGCCAGGTGTTCAAGCCCTTCCTCCCCAGCATTATTGCGCTGTGCATGGAGCAGGTGTACCCCATCATTGCTGAGGTAGGGGGGGCAGGGAGGGAAGGAGGGGGGAAAGCACCTTCTGTTTAGATCTCATTTGTGAGTTCTTTCAGTACTCGCGTAAGTGATTTTTGGGGTCCCTCCTCCCTCCAAGAAAAGGACACATTGTGCACACACATACATAAAAAAATAAATGAATACTTAATAAAAAGAATAAACGTCTCTGGATACTTAGGACTTTTAAATGCTCGTAGCTCATAGCCAGAGAGCTGGCTCAGCAGTTAGTGCGCACTGCTCTTCCGGAGGACCTTTCTTTCTCTCCCTCTCCTGTAAATGGTCTTTTGCTAAAAGCAAGTTCTTGGTGACAATTCAAGTAGAACTTTTTGTGGTCTGGGAAAATGACAGACATTAAGTACATTCAAGACCCAAAGGAAGTACAGATGCAGCTTGAATGTTACCTCAGTGGTTAGAGAAATAGGAGCTGATCTTGTAGCTGTCCCCACAACCAAAGTCGAGGGCACTGGGTCCTGAGACACACATGGCTGTGTAGGTGACAGTCAGAATTCTACAGCAGTGTTGGGAATGATGTGGTTTGTGTGTTCACTGGTAACTTGGACATTTGGGTTTGAGTTAGGAAATCATGCTTCAATGAGTGACCCCTACTCTCTCAGAATCCTGATGCTGGCTACAGGAAAAGGAGCCGCACCCAGGCAGCAATTAGCGCAGCCTGTTGCCTCCACGGGGAGGCCTTTAGACTTCTCGGGTTCCTAAGTGCTCTTCAAACTTGCCTCTCTTGGGGAGCAGCACTGCTTTTAGGGCATCTTGCTTTTGTTAGTCTCTCAGGTTGCTTAAAGCTAGCATGTTAGCCATGCTAACTGTTTCCATCCTGGGAGAGGGATTAACCCAACCTGGAAGATAAAAACAATCCAACTGGCTAGTTCCTGAATAGAAAAATCCCCATTTTCATTGTCTTTGCCCCTGTGTCCCTTCTTCCTAGTGTTTAAAGCTGAGTGATCCATTAGAAAGAGCCTCCTGGCACTCATCTGAATGTTGTCTCATGTGTCTCTTGAAGCACTCTTGGGTGAACTGCCCCCTCCAAGGACTCAGGGCCTTCTGCATGGGAAGTGGCAGAAGTGTGGGTAGAACATTGAATACTAGCTACTGTCTGGTGCCTCTTAGACTTCTGGGGTGGCCTACGCTGGCCACGAGGCCCCCAAGCTGCATGAAAGAAAGTCTAGTGCCATGTGGCTGTCTCTACAGCGCCCGTCACCTGACGTGAAGGCTGAGCTGTTTGAACTCCTCTTCCGAACGCTCCATCACAACTGGCGGTACTTCTTCAAGTCTACTGTCCTGGCTAGCGTGCAGAGGGGCATTGCTGAGGAGCAGATGGAGAATGAACCCCAGTTCAGTGCCATCATGCAGGTAAGGTGGAGGGCTTGCCTGGGAAGCTGCAATGTGTCCTGAGAGCCTGCATCCTTGGCCCATGTCCCTTGGGTTCTTCTCAGGTATGTGGCCCACTTCTTCCAACCTGGCCCTGCAGCAAGTGTGAGGCTGACACTGAGCTCTGCCCCTGTTAGTTTCTTGGGGCTTCAATATCTTCATGTGTAAAGTGGGGTCAGCACTGCCAGTTTTACAAACTAATTGTTTGATAAACAAGACAGTGTACACCAAGGACACGACACCAGTGGTTATGTGCTCAACGTCCATTCCCTTCATTTAAGAGCAGTGTAAGGAGGAATCTGTTGGGCGTGGTGACATGTGTAGTTCCAGCCCTTGGAACACTTGAAGGCTGAGGCAGGGTGACAAGCTCTACTTGGTTCTTGCTTAGAGGATACTTGGTGAGCCAGGAGTCTTTGGAGAGCCCAGCAGTCTGCATTTGGAAAGGGCGCTCTGGCTCCAACCATGCTGCCCTGTTAGGGCTTCGGCTTAATGTGTTCTAGTGTTTGCTCTCCTAAGCTTTGTGTGTGTAGACTTCTTTGACTGAGGACTGGTCTCTTATTTGGGGCTTATAAAAGTTACTTTGAAAGAGTTTCGTAGTTTGGCAGTTCCTTATAATGTTATATATGACTGAGCATATGACCTAGCAGTCGACAGCATGTGTTCGCACAACCTGTACACAGATGCTTGTGTCTGTTTTCATGATTGCTCTAGACCCAAAACAATCCAAATATTCACTAGCTGTGAATAGGTAAACCCAGTGGCAAAGAAGTAAAGAACATTCTACTACAGTGGAGATGAACATACACTCTGCTAGGTGAAAGAAGCCAGGAGAGAGGCTCTGCCCAGCCCCTGACCCATCAGAGGGATGGAGAAGCAGCAGTGGCTGCCAACACAGGAAGAGGATTGAATAAAGCTAGTGTGAGGAGACATTGCAGGCCCAAGGAAATAAATGTCTTACACCTTAATGGTGATGGTGCTCTGTTGATTCAAGTCCTGCAGTGCCAAAGAGTTTCATTCTAGCTTCAGAAAGCTTGATGTTTAGGAGTAGATTCTACTGCTGTAGCTGTAAGGACAAGATTCCTTGCACAGCTGTGCAGCCCTGGGATGGAGTAGCCACTTCCTGTAGGCTGCCAGCCTCCCTTGTCCCTGTGACCCCTTGGTACTGGAGCGGGGAGTTTTGTGTCAGGCAGGGGTGTTGTTTCAGTTTGCTCCTGAGCTATTGTAGCTTCCCTCCTAGACATCCCGAGGCAGTTTACAGATGTGCTGGTGCTCAGCCCAACATGTGCAGTGATTGAGAGAGGACCTCTGAGGACTTAAGGCCTGTGAGGTGTGGGCGGGCACTAAGGAGCATGAGAGTCCCTGTAGAGGATTGCCTGGGCAGGCAGGCAGGCAGGCAGGCAGGCAGGCAGGCAGGCTGGCAGGCTGTGCTGTCTACTCAGATTGCTCAAGGATTTGACTAGTGTGGGTGTCTTGCTTCAAAGATGTGCTCTTGAAGAGATTCTAGAGCAGTGGTTCTCAATCTTCCTAACACTGTGACTCTCTAATACAGTCCTCATATTGTGGTGACCCCAACCATAAAATTATTTTCATTGCTACTTCATAACTGTAATTTTGCTACTGTTATGAATTGTAATGTAGATATCTAATATGCAATCCTGTGGGGGTCATGACCCCACACAGGTTGAGAACCACTATTCTAGTGTTTTCTTTTAGAAGGTGTCAGTGAGACCAGAATAAGAAGTGAGGCCCATGAGAAGACACAGGTGCCAAGACATGAGGGTTACATTGCAGAGGTCTGCCCTACCGGGCAGAGCTGCGACTGGTGCCCCCCTCCCCCAGCCTCCAGTGAGGAGCTGCATAGTGTTGGTTCTGACGTAGGATAGAGGCCCTGGAGGATTGGGTTTCAGGGAATGTAAATGCTGCTTATTAAATAGTAGTCTTACTCCCCAGGCTTTTGGACAGTCCTTTCTTCAGCCTGATATCCACCTGTTTAAACAAAATCTCTTCTACTTGGAGACTCTGAACACCAAGCAGAAATTATACCACAAAGTAAGTGCCCTTCTCTCCTGGAAGTATTCCTCCTCATCTGAGAGTTCTGGGCTGAGTCTAACTCCCTTGAGTCTGCCTGGGGAATATTTGGGGGAACACACTAAACCTAGGGTGACCCCAGTCTGAGTGAGCCTCCTGGCCCATGCTCCTGCTTCTCTGCTTGCAGAAGATCTTCCGGACCACTATGCTGTTCCAGTTTGTGAATGTGCTGCTCCAGGTCCTGGTTCATAAGTCTCATGACCTTCTACAAGAGGAGATTGGCATCGCCATTTACAACATGGCTTCCGTCGACTTTGATGGCTTCTTTGCAGCCTTTCTTCCAGAGTTCCTGACCAGCTGTGATGGTGTGGATGCCAATCAGAAAAATGTGCTGGGACGAAATTTCAAGATGGATCGGGTGAGGAGAAAAGGCCAAGCTATAAGGGAACATGTGTGGGTTCTTGAGCCTGCTGTTTGATTAGTGAGGGGCCCATCTAGGTCTTGGCATGGTTATACCATACCCTCTGGTAGGTTATCATCAATACCTAGGTAACTTGATGCTGGGGTTGGGTGTAGAGGGCACACTCTTTCTCTGGGACTTGGCTCCTGTAACTCACATGTTCATTGTCTCAGCCACGGAGGTCACAGGACCCAGCAGGCAACACATTATCTTAACTCTTTTGTCCGCATCTCCCACCCCATTAACACACATCTCTGCCTCCTACGGGGCTTGCACTCTTGGTGGTCTACAAGACACCATACTGTCCCTCTGCCCTGACTTTCAGGCAGGCTCAAAAGATTGGTACAGCTTTGGGCCCCCAGAGATGGCCCTGTTGCTTGGCTGCGCTGGACTCTTCCTGTCTCTCTTCACAACCCAGCACTGGTGCAGCTCAGACTCCTCAAAGGACCCTCGTGCTACTGAGACCCCTAGGGGAAGCACTTGGGGGTGATGGGGCAGCTGGGGTGCTGATGACTCTGGATGTACTTGGAGCCATTGCTGCTCTTGGCTGTCAAGCTCTGTAGTGCCCCCTTTCTGCATCATGGGCTATAGCCCTCCCTGATCTTTGTGTGGTAGGCCATCTTCGGAACTTTGCAAAATGCAGTTCTTTGTTTTGTTGTCTTTTTTTTTTTTTTTTTTTTTTTTGAGGCAGGGTTTCTCTTTGTAGCTTTGGCCTCGAAGTCACAGTGATCCACCTGGCTCTGCCTCCAGAGTACTGGGATTAAAGGTGTGCACCACCACTGCCCTGCCAAAATAAAATTCTTTAGGAAACTTTTTCTTCTTTGGAACAAGCACTGCTCCTCTTGTCCCCTTGGGTGGAGAATTGAGAACTTCTCTCTCCTGCTGTTTTTGTGCTCGTTACTTCTGTGCTGGGGCAGCCGTACATGCTGAAGCAGCCATACATACCGGGCTCAGGTTTCTGGCCATTCTGCCTCTTCTTTTGTCATGTACTCTAGGGAAGCTTTCTTGGACTCACAGCTTTGCTTTTTTGTATCTTAGAATTGTCCTTTTTGGGGGAGATCTGTCTTTTTTCTCTTTCAGCCACTTGAGTAGTTTTTCCTTAGTTTTCTCTTGACCAACTCCTAATATCTCATGGTTACTTTGCAGTGGCATCAGTATTAGTTAATGCAGTAGGTTCCAAATCTAGTTGTTTAGTAGACTCCTGGATGCATATGGAAGATGGATAGTTGGCTCCACTGAGGGAGTTTCTTTGGTGTTTAGGAGCTGCTGATTGAAAAGATGCCGCTTGGTCGGTTTAGGCTTGCTTTGGTTTGGGTATTCTGAGATGAGGTCACTGTAGCCTTTGCTGGGCTTGATTTGTGATCCCCCTTCCTCCACCTCTTCTATGCAAGTGCCATCCAACCCTTCCCTCTCTGCACAGGGTCTTTCTTTGGTCTGAAACTTACTGTATAGACCAGGCTGGCCTCAAACTCATAGAGATCCTCCTGCCTCTGCCTCCTGAGTGCTGGGGTTCAAGGTGGACACTACCAGACCCTGTGCCCTGTGCTGTTCTTCAGGATGAAACGAGTCACACTTTCCATGTTGTCGTCTACTCAGTCACCTGCTGCCAGGCACAGTCCCTGCTTCCACGAAGTCTTTTGTTGAAGACAGGCTGCACAGTGTATTTTGTTTTGTTTTGTTGAGCATGCTGTTCCTGGCACTTCCTGCTCTTCCAGACACCTTCTGAAGGGCAACTTAACTATTAGCTTCATTTTGTAGATGGCCTAGACTTAGTGGTTACTGAACTTGGAAGTAGAGATGTGGAACAGGATCTTAGCTGAGTGTGGTTGAGAGTAGGCAGCATGATTGATCTAAGAGCACTTTGAGAAAGCTCAACAGAGGCACTGGCCAAGCCAGCTCAGGCAAGACAGGCAGGGTCTTTGGTGATGGGGAGAGGTGTGAGCTGAGTTCCATCAAGGAAGAAAGTGAGAGAGATAGAACTATCAGCTATCTGATGTGACTGAGTTTTATGGGGATCACCTTGGCAGGGTGCCAGATACATCTGTGACAGCATTGTGTATATTGTTGCCTCTCTTCACATTGGGACCTGCACAGCAGACCCCCAGTTACACCACACTAAGCAATGTGGGAAGCAGTGACCATGATAATGCTCAAGGTTCGAGCTGTGAGGGACTCCTGATTTCAGCATCTGGGTGCCTTCCCACTTGCTGTTGCTCCCAGCAGGACAGCTCTGGGGCCAGGCAGTGTGTGCTCTTCAGCTCAGATGTCATTTAACTTGTAGGGACTAGTGGAACTCATGCAGGAAGGACTCTATGATGTGGGTCATCAAGAGTGGCCTAGGGGAAGGAGAGGGCAGAGGAGCAGCCAGGCTGGTGCTGTGACTCTTCCCTCCCTCCCTCCCTCCCTCCCTCCCTCCCTATCTAACCTGCAAGACCCTGCATTGCGGGCTGTGGTACAGGTCTGAATTGCTTACAGCAGAGCCTGGCCTGTGGAGCCCTGAAGAAGGATTTTTGCATGTGCCCTCCACCCAACCTTGTCCCTTGCCTGGGACTTGGAATCTTATTAAATGTTTGCATGGACCAAAAGCAC